AATAAGTGCTTGCTATGCACATGTCATTGTTTAGCCATTATGAAGGAAAGAGAAGGATATTTTTAAAATACAGGAAAGTCAGAAGAAGAGATTATTAATTTCAAATAAGGTAATCAAAAAATAGCGACAAGTTAGCATTTTGGGAACACAGGTACAACTTAGACATGTAGAGATGAAAGAAAATTCTAAGAGAAGAGGCATAAACACAGACTCAACTGGCAGTATATGCTGAATCTTGACTTTGGTGGTGGTTACCTGGGCACACACACACACATATATATATGTGGAAATTGACTGAAATGTACTACAAAATGGGTGCACATTATATGTAAATTTTTCCTTAGTAAACCTGATATTGTCTGATGTATCCAATGAAAGGAAATTGAACTTTCAGGTTTAGGGAGAAAGAAGTACTGGTAAACACAATGAGGACCAAAAAAAAAAAAAAAAAAAATCATAGTTTAAATCCAAGGGAATAAAAAAAAATTATATATAGTATTTCCTCAATAAAAAAGTTATTAGCTTTATAATACAAAAATACTAGTTTCACACTTAATAGTTTTATTCCAGGTAGGGAACTTACCTGATTTAAAGCTCATCTATTAAATATTGTGTTCCTACTCCAACAACCCCACTTGAAAAAAAAAAAAAAACTCTACATTTTAGAGCATTTACCCTTAACAAATAGCAAAGAATACACTGAATATCCATATCCGCTTGGGTTGCATACTAACGAGACTTAATAGAGTTTAGCAAAATAATTTAAGACTGTATTCAACACTCAGATCTTACATTGCACACTCAAATCTTGTTTCAGGTAACTTACCTCTGAATTTTTTTTAACCTTTACCTCTTTTTGATGACCCAAACTCTTAGAATTATGTAGCTATTAAGTACATAAGATCTTCTATCAGCTCATAATTCATAGTTTTAGAATGCATGGTTCGAGGGCTGGGATTTTTTTCCCACACAGGTGTAAGTGCCTGCCTGGCAAGCAATAGGTCATGAATTCAATCCCAGTACCAAAAAAAGAGAATTCATGGCTAGAAACAGAGATCATCATAGTAACAGTATTACTGTCAACAAGTCTTGTTGGAAACTTAAAATGGCATTGTGAATAAAATCAATAACTATAAAGTCAAATTGAAAACATGAATTAATTACGGTTTAGAGAAGCATCATGAGACCAGCAAAGACACCATTGTGCCATAAATTACAACCTTAAGACTCATGAGTCACGTGCATCAATATTTTACCAAGGAAAACACTCTGTCGTATCGAATTACCAATTTTCATATTCCAAAAGGTTAAACTGATAGCAAAAAAGGCTTAGTGTATGGAATTTCACAATTGAAGGCAGACACAGCTCAAGGACATCAATTTGCAAATTGGTATTCTATGTAATTATAGTCTGAGATATTACCAGTTGGACATGACAAAAGAGGCTTTCTGGCTAGGTAAATTTAGGAAATGCTATGATAACCTTCCGCTGGAGATTACATACACGTAAAGCACAACAGAAAAGGTTTTCAAGAGTCTTGCCTTTATAGCAAAAAACACGACGACGACAACGACAACAACAACAAAAACCACACAACAAAATCACTTTGGCTCAAATCACTTGTCATGTTTAGAGGAAATAAGCCTATCAATCTGCTTCAAAATACTGTGGTCTTTTCAAAGTGTCTTAAATGACAAAACCGAGACCTAGCATGCACAAGGTCAGGGAAATGATCCGTAGCACCACCACAAGTACAGACCAGACCAGACCAGACCAGACCAGACAGAATCAAAGAAACAAACCCTAGAGATCCCATCTGGTTAACAGAACTTTAACCTTATTTCTTCATCCTCAGCAAGACGATGTACTTCAACCACAAAACAGGACTCCTGTGTATACATTTAATATTTTGTGCTGTGAATTAACTAAGGTGTTTTCTTTTCAAAAACTGGGTCCCTAATAATGAAGTCCACCTGGAGATTTACTTCCACCTGGAAATCTTAAGGAATAATTAGGTTTTTTTTTTTTTTTTTTTTTTTTTGTACCAGGGATCAAACTCATGACCGCACACTTGCCAGCCAGGTACTTATGCCACTGAGCTAAATCCCTAATTTTGAGGGATGATTAAGTTTAGCTGAAAGTAATCATTAAGCCAGTATTTGGATCATGTGTGGTTTTAACTGACTCATCAGTTGTTAGCTCAACTAAATCACTGTTGATTATCAGGTGGGTTACTTAGCACATAATGCAGACACGCACCGAAGGTCATATTAATATATTCAAATAAAACAATTTGTGGCTGTGTAAAAAAGAGCCAACAACATGGAAACTTTTTTTTTTTTTCGTATTTGTAATTCAGGGCTTTTGGGTCAGGCAAATCTTTTCATTTATTCTTGTAATCACTAGAAATGTTTGTTTTAATTAGCCTCCGAATCAGATTTTTCCCATCTTTGTATTTCCCAAACTCCATACAACTCTAAGTAAACGTAAGAATAACCAAATCATAATTTTCTCAGTTTTTTAAAAGCACAATTGCGTGCCTTTTTCTCCTCAGGATAAAAGAGAATGGAAACTGGACAGGTAACTTGTTATGTTGCAACTTTAAAAGCATTAGGAATCAGAAGTGAAAATTGTTAACAACTTCCTTAAGATTATTCCTACTTCCTCCAGAGAACTTTGGCACGCCTTGCTACGGCAACGCTTCACCCGCAACAAGCTGGCATTCCTGTTTCCTCAGTTACAAAAGAACCCACCACGTGAACGCGACAATCCTGGTCCCCAGTTCCTCCACCAAGCGGGGACTCCGCGTCCCCACCGCACGCCGCACAGGTGCGGGCCACTTCGGCCCCAGCAGTGCGCGGCTCTCGGCCCAGCTCGGAGGGACCCGCAGGCCAGCGGCTGTCCAGACCCGCCTGCGGTCTACCTGCTCGGCCTCTCCCGCACCTCCGCCAGCGCCAGCTCCGGCCCCGCACGGCTCCCGGCTTTCCCGAGACCAAGGGGGCGGCCGGCGGCGTCGCGGCTTCAGGCCGGGGCGGCAACACCCCCAACATCCCGGCAGCCCGACGCACGGAGCGCCCCTGCGGCTGCCGAACGAGCGCGTGGAGGAGGCTGAGCCGGATGGCAGTCTGCCTGGGACCGCGCGGGGGGCGGGGACGCGGTTACCTGCCGTGGGCTCAGACGCTTCCTGCCGCCGCCACTCTCCTAGCCACCGAGGCAGCGACGCGGAGGCCAAGCGCCGAAGGGCCTAGTGACAGCTCCCAGTGTGCACCGCGCGCGCCGGCGTCGACGTCTAGGGCTTGTGGTCCCCGCCCCCAGGACGCTCCTCGTCTGCTGGCGCTGTTACCACAGCGCCCTCAAGTGGTCATTTGCAGGAAGCGCCCACGACGCTGACTACGGGAAATGGGAGGGAAACGTCTCTAAACAGGTGTTCTTGTCTCCAGGACAAGTCCCATTTTGATGGAAAGTTTGAAAGCGTAAGAACTTAAAATAGCTGTAAATGTAATTAAGCAGTGTTTAAAGAATTCCTTAACATTTTATATTAGTACCTTCAAGCTCAGAGCGTGCGTGTGTGAAATTGGGAAACACACCGTTGGTATGACATTTGGCAGGACTTTGGGTCTGGAGCACTTTAATCATATCAAGCTGCTCCAAGGAGGGCTGCACCATTTTCTCACACAATAGAATAAAACAAGCGTTTACAAAGGTGTGACTAGAAAATATAACTATTTAAAACTATTAAAACAACTATGGACAGCCTGCTGTTATAAGAATAGTGCGTGTTTCAGTATTTCTATTTAAACACTTGAAAGTCAGGTTAAAAATGGAAGAGAATATGAAAAGCTGAGGTTGCCACCCTTCAAACAGATGAATTAGCAACAAATACTAGTTAACTGGGACATTCTGTAATTATTGGATTATTGCAATAGAACAAGAATTTGTGCAGTAACGTGATATGCTTAAAAAATTTTAAATATTGATCTTAGAAAATTTGTCTTAAATTTCTATCTATAGACATGCTGAAGGACTTACAGTTTTTATTTAGAATTGCATCAGCCGAGTTTTGTGGCACTCACCTGTAATCCCAGAAATGGGAAGGCTGAGGCAGGAGGCTCATGGTAAGTCTGAGGCCTGCTGAACTACATTGTGAGGCCTGGTCTCAGAATACAACAAAAAAAGCATTATCTTTGGTACCTGATAATCAGTAATTATGACTTTGAAATCAAAATACAACATTAATAAGCAGGACTTTCTATAACAAGCTATCATTTTAAAAAATACACTTTTGCTTTTAAAGTAATATATTGTAATTCCACTGTGGCTTTATATTTTTATGTTTCTCCATTTAAAATATTTACACTCCACCAGATCCTTTTCTATGTCAAACTTTCAAAAATTATCTTGTAATGTCATCCTGAGTTCTCTGAGTCAATGTTTACCTCCGAGGAAAGTGGGGAGGTACATCTGGAATTAATTTCATGTTCCCTTTTGAAAGGTGAATGGTGAATGGTGAGTTCTGTGATTCAAACTTCAAGATTTCACATTCGTCTATATTGGTAACAGAAAATTGGACTACGATTTAGCAGATGTTTCAATTTTGGATGTAGAAGGACTAAATTGAGAAGCAATGCCGAATCAATCCTTGAGATTTCTGGTCTCAGAGCTTAACAAGGACCTTAGTTCTTTAAAAGCGGGATAGAGGCAAAGTGGGCTTCGAGATGGCAAATCCAACTTCTTCTGCTGAGGATAGTATTACCTGTTACCTCTGCTCCATTACCTGTTCCCTGCCCACGCTGGTCAAGGAAATATACCCCAGTCTGCGTGTACGATCTTTTCCAGGGAGGCTAATGTTCCAAGTCAAGCTCATGAGAAGCGTGGGGAGAAGCTCGACTTGGCCTCCCCAGCGCTCCCAGCCAAAACCGGATTTTAAAAGCGCGCCCCTCTGCACGGGCCCAGCAACCAGAGGCGGCGCGCTCTCCGCCCGCCAGGCGGCGCTGTGGACTGACCGGCGCTGCCCGCGTGGTCCGGCCCCCAAGTCGCCTCTGAGCGCGCGTGCAACAGATCGCGGCCTGGGTCCCGCGTGGGCCGGAGCGCGGGGCGATGGCGGCGGGCGAGGCGGAGGCGCGCGTGTTCCTGGAGGTGCGGAGACGGCTGCGGAGCGCGCTGCTGATCGTGGGGTAAGCCGGGCGGGCAGAGCGGGCGCCTGGCCGCCGCCGCCGCGCTGGGGACCGCGGGCTCTGAGTTTCCTCTTCCTTCCCCGGTGCTCCGGCCGCGGCCTCGGTATCTCGGGGGAGCTTTGGAGGAAAGCGGGGTCTCATTCCACCGCAGGTCTGCCGACTTACAGTTTGCATTTTAACAAGATTCCCGGGATTCCATTGCGCGTTAAAATACGAGAAACTGATGTGAAACCTTAGGAGCTGGTTAGTAGCTGTCAGGCATTTTTAGTACAGGAGTGCAGAGACTTCCAATGAGGAGTTTGATTTTAAAGTTCCAAGGTGTGTGTTTCCCTGTGGTGTCAATAACCGGGTTTCCCACCGGCCCTTCCTGGTCAGCTCTCAATGGGCGTGGGAGGGCTGAGAAACAAACAATAATATCATTCCATAAACATGTTTTTGGCGAGTGACTTGAAGGCCGCAGACTTCTTGCTCATTTTTTAATTTGTATTGCAAGTTCTAGTGAGAAATCTACAAACTTTTAACTTATTCATTACACAAGCAAGAAACATTTAGGGAAAAAAATGTTCATTTTGTTTTGTTGGCAGCAGTTTTAATGGTTTGTGATCCCCTGGCTCCTCCTCTCTTGTGACCACTATTTCAGATAAAGGATGTTGGACATCAAGATCCTGAGCTAAGATGATGGTGCTTTGCTTTTCCCTTTTTCCTGGAATCTGCTGGACGCCAGGTGGAGCAGTTTGGGATTTGGCATGAGAACTCAGCTCAAATCTTAGCTTCATCAAAAAGCTGGAATAACTTAACCTGAATGGCTTGAATTTTAATATGAGGATGTCCAGAATTTAGTACTTAATGGAACTTGTTTCCTTTCTTTCGGAAATCCTGAGTTCGAGCAAATAGCACCAGTTCCAGTTCACCCAGTAGGGTAATTAGCAGCTTGAACCTGACCGCTCACACCCATAGCCTCCAGAAGAGGAATCCGACTCACTGGTTCCTAGAAGCACTTGTTTAACAATTTCATAAACCTGTTTACTGGACTGCTCATTTGTTCCTGGTGTTCTTTGACTGTTGGGCTGTATCATCAATCAGTTCCCCTATCCTAGAAGTGCCCTTTGCTCTGACTTTATTCAACAGAATTTACCATTTCTTGGCATGTACATGGATTCAGGCGGTATGTACTTTTATTTATTGCTAGCTGCTTTCCTTCAGCGTAATGTTTTCAACATTCATGTTACATCTATTCTGTGTATCAGCAGTTTGTTTTTCTTGCTGAGTAGTTTTCCACGCTGTGAATAATCCACAATTAATTTATGTGTTTTCCTGATGTGGATATTTTGCCTGTTTCCAGCGTGTGCTCATTATGAGTACTGCTGAGGTTACCTTAGTTTGATGTATATTTTTTATGAGCATACCCTTTTGTTTTGTTTTGGTGCCGGAAATCAACAGGACCGCGCACTTACCAGGCTGGCACTGTGCCGCTGTACCATACCTCCACCCCACTTCCCCACTTTTTTTTCAGTAAATGCTTGTGTGTGAAAATGCTGGACTATAGAATAGGTGTGAATATAATTTAGTGAGAAACTACCAAAGAGGACCTTAATTGCTTCACATTTTTTTTCCTTCCTTTAGTATTGGCGGTCATTTTGGTTTGAACCATTCTAATGGGGATAGAATATCTCACTGTGGTGTTAATTTGCATTTCTCTGGTGACTAGTAATGTTCAGCCTGTTTTCATTTGTTTATTTGTCAACTCATGTGTTGTAAAATTGTAAAAATTTTTTCTATGGTTTTGTTCAGGTTTGCCCTTAAGAAAACAGGTTGGTTGTCATTGTTGAACTGAAAGAGTGCTTTATGCAATCTACAGACAGGATCTTTATATATATATATTTTTTTCTGTGAATATGCAAATATTTTCGTCTAATCTGTTACTGACATCTCATTTTCTTAAAACAGGTTTTATACCCCTTAAGTGAAGTGTGGGATCCTAGAATTGTTTCACATTTTAGAGTTTCTCCATATTTTGGAATATTTACATAGAGCTCACTGATAGAGCATCCCAGCTCCAAAATCTGAAATCCAAAAATGCTTCAAAATGAAAAAAAATTCAGATTTCAGAGCATTTTGAATTTCATATTTTTGGATTAGGGATGCTCAGTGGGTAGTATCTTTTGATGAACAGAAATTTTAATTATGTCCAACCTACCCCTTTTTTTTATGGAGAGTTTTTTTTGATCTTAAATCTTTGTCTACTTCAAGGTGAACATATTTTCTTATTTTAATTTTCTAGGATCTACATAATTTTAGCTTTTACATTTTGATCTGTGATCATGGTAATTTTTGCCTGCAGTGAGGTAGAGGTCAAAGTTTGTTTTTTCAATATTGTTCCATCTCCATTAGCTAAGATGACCATCATTTGTGTCATGAAGTAACCCAATACTGTGTTTTCATCAAAAAATCAGTTGACTTTATGTTCACATGGTATATCTTTTTCTACTGTTTTATTTTTAATTTGTCTTTATAATTTATTTTTAATAGCATATATCCACAGATTTTTTAAAGCCCATTTTTATAATCTGCATTTAAATTAGGATTTTGAGTATATTTTTAGTTAATATAAATCTTTGTACACAGTCATTTTTTATTCTTATTCCTAATCTTAAATGCTTCTGGGTTTCATCAGGAGATAAATATGAATAGTAAACTGTGTAGTTTTTATAGTCCTTTTTTAAGAATTTTGATTGTGAACAGGTATTACATATTCTATAGAAGTTTTCTGTTTGTGTGGAAAAAGACAGCTCACAGTCTGTTAGATGTCAGATGTGCTGCGTTCCTGGTCTCACAGCGCTGAGGAATGAAGTCACACACCAGAGGTGGACGTTAGGAGAGTTTTGTTGAGAATAAGAACAGCTCCTGAATTTCCAGGTGGGGTCCACAGTGGGTGCTGCTGAGACTCCTGTCGGGGATAACTTATACACCAACATCACAATATGGGTATAATGTGGATCAAACTATAATACATACAATTGCATTACATTTACCAATATTATCTGTTTATATATTGAAAACCAGAACTTCACATGCAGAAATTTCTACTGCCGCAGTGTCCATTTTAATTTTCTCCCTTTCTCTTTGTAACTCTTAGCCCTCAATGAGATTCCTGTCCTCATTCACGTCTTGCTTATTTCCCTCCTCAGTCCCCCTCTATGTAACTAGTCTCTGCGGACATCTTTTGCTGCTTCCTCTCTCCTCTCTCACTATTGACATTCATCCAGGTTGAACTCTGTTTTAACCAAATGTTTGTATCTTTAAGAAATTCACATGTTAAATCCCAAAAGCCAGCGATGGCAAACCTTTTAGAATTTCAGTGATACAGTCAGCCGGTTGTGTGTGCCGTACGTTTGCCACCACTGCCCTGATCCCTTAAGGTAATGCTGTTAGGAGGTGGGGCCTTTGGTAAGTAATAAGGTTTAGATGAGGTCATGAGGATGAAGCTCCCATGATGAGATTGATGTCCTTATAAGAGGAAGAGACAGTAGAGATGAAGCATTTCTCTGCAATATCTTATTTAGGCCATCTAGCAATGGTATAGTGTCTCTAAATACTTGAGCAGCTGAAGATCAAAAACGTTCATAAAAAAGTTGCATCTATACTAAACATATATAGACTTTTTCCTTATTATACCCTAAAGAATAACAACTATTTACATAGCATTTACTTTGTACTAGGCATTAAGTAATGTAGAGATGATTTAAGGCTTACAGGAGGCTGTGCATAGGTCACATGCAAGTACTATGATATATTCTGTCAAGTACTCAGTAGCTGGACTTTAATTTTTACTGGGCGCTCTGTAAAGCGATTTGTAAAGAACGCTCTGAGGCGTTCTTTCATGGGTCCCAGTGAAATTTCCAATGGCAGCTGTAGCCAAGAAAGGCTCTGAAAAGCCCATGCTGAATGGCCTTCCCATCCCTAGCTCAGATGCCTTTCTCATGTGCTGGCGGTCCCTCTGGTGGGTACTCTTCACCCTGTTTGGTTTCTCACTTCCTTCCCTGGCCACTAGGCTTCCCTCCTCACTTTTTGGATGCCTACCTTGCCTTGATTGAAGAGTTTGAAGCCGTCTTTTCTTCAAAACAACAACAACAAAACACACACACAAAAACTCAATGGACCAAGCAAACAAAAAACTGGTTCCCGATACTCTGTATTGCCAATTAAATGCAGATGCATGTGTTTGAAAAGGAACTAGCCAGAAAGTAGCCTTAAAACTTTCTAAGGCAAATTAAGAGGACTGACAGATTCTGACACTGAAGCAGGAGGCCTGCTATTTGCACTAAAGCAACGCAGAGTGGAGAGCTTGCCATCTGGATTTAAGAGGGAGCCACAGGGGACTGCCTTGTAGTTCAGTGGTATTTAATGTCCTGGGGGTCCTGGGTTCAATTCCCAGCACCAAAATGAAAACAAAAAAGGAAGCCACAAGCACTTTGCACTTCTGTTATAATGCTAAGCACATCTCATCTTAGAAGGATCATTTCTGTATGTGTCACCGTCACTTTTTGTGTTACTTAGTCCTTTCTGTGCATGCCTTCATTCCCCTCTGTACTGCTGCACCTGTTGCAAAGGGACTGCATATACTTCTTGTTTCCTACACTGACTGCAGTAATCTGTTTATTGTTAATGGGATTAGAATGTCCTTTTACATCTGATGTTTAAATGTCACTGTTCTTGTTTTTATCTTAACCATGACATGAAAGTTTTTATCCTGTATCCTATTTCATTTAAGCTGATACTGATATACAGATCTTGTATTTGAGTTACTTTAATCTTGTATTTGAGTTACTAATGCTTTACTGATTACTGGGATATCAATGCTGGTCTCAGATACAAAAATAAAACTGTGTTGCAGGACTTTGATGATATTGCTATGAAAGGTTCTCAGACCTGATCTAAATCTACTATAGATTGGTTTCCTTTAGCATCTATTTGTGCTGTTATTCAGGAGTGATGGAAGGAAGAGTCACAGAGAGATTCATGGCCATGTTTTTCTTCTTTTATCATGTGACTTTCATCAAAGAGAACTAATGTGTTTGACTTTTGTTCTTAATTATTAGAGAGCCAAAAGAAGGAGGAATGCCCATGGACCTTACAGTAAGGCCCTTCTCCCTGCGGTTGGCGACCTCTGAGGGCTGCACGGAGATCCGGCTGCCAGCAGAGGTCAGGCTTGTACCTTCCTCTTGCCGGGGGCTGCAGTATGTGGCCGGGGATGGACTGCACCTGAGGCTGCAGGCGCAGGCAGAGTTCAGCACAAGTGAGTAAGACCAACACTTCTGTTCAGCGTTTCCTTTTTTGTTATAAATCAAAGGTAATTTTTTCTTTAAAGTGAGCTTTTCCCAGGTGAAAAGACTGCTCATTAGTGGCCTGGAAGAGCTGGAAGGTTGACAGGATCCAGGGTCTGTGTCAGCACTAGTTACCAGCAGTGTGCAGCCAGGCCTCATTCTTTATTTTTAGTGGCTTTTTTTTTAGTAAGTGGATTTTATTTTTAGAGTACTTTTAGGTTTATAGCAAAATTGAGCAGAGACTTCCCCTCTACCCTCTCTTTTGTTTCTTTAGTTGTAAAATTTCTGGGCTCATGGTTTTGATATCAATTTTAGATGGCAAGTTTGTAAGTTCTAGTTGATTTTAAAGCATTGCATAGAAGTTCATTCATTCAGCAGACAGTTTCACTTGTGTGATATGGGAGGCATTGATCTGAGAGCTGGGGACACAGACCTGAACAAGCTATGGAAGGTCTCTATTCTTAAGCATACATTCTACTGTATAGTGATACGTACTGAACAAATTTTAATTACAGGCTGAGAAGTGCTGTGGGTAAAGTACAGCAGAATAGGATATGGAATGACTTAGGGTTGAGTGAAGGGCAGGAAGTCCAGGAAGGCCTTCAGAGGAGACAGTGTTTAACCAGACAACTGAAGGACACAGATTGTCCAAGGAGAGACTATTCAGAATAAAGCAGCAGTACAAATCCTGAAGCTGAGTGTGAGAAACCATAGTTTGCTCTTTTGATTGTCACTATGACTGTTACAATTGCAGTATTTTATAATTGTAAAACGATGCAAATTGTATTTGGATTAAGGAAGTAGGAATTTTTGTAAGATAGTGTGATTATTTATTAAATATCATTATTGGCTTATTGCATGTCTTACAGTGTAATTAATAATGCTTGGGAAGATTAAAATGTGAAGAGGGGGAACAGACACTGTCAAAGCCTGTCATGATACCTATTTGAAAAATATTATGAGGGGTCACTGTTGCTTCTCTCTCGTGGAACCTGGACTGAGGAAAACAGGATTTCCTGAGGAGCTATTTAGGAGATGTCCAGCAGTTCTCTGACTTTTGAAAGGAAAGAGAAGTTAGACTGTATTATGCTTCTTTTTTTTAACCTAAGAGTAATTTTTGCTGAAGTTCTGAATTAGTGAATAACAGTTTAAGTTCCATGGTTTCACAGTTGGCGTTAGGAACAGGAGGTAAGGACATGAATGTTGTGAGGCTTCAGTGTCATCGGATCAACACTAAGAATGGCAGTTGGAATAATCATGGAAGGAAGGGCGAAGTCACCAAGTAGACAAAAACAAATCACAAGCTCTCGGGTGTACTTAACTGTGGGCTGAGGAAATCTTGTTTTGGGGAAGAGGCTGATCTGGATCTTTGATGTCATCACCTTCTCCTTTATTTTATTTATTTATTTTTGGGAGTCAAACCCAGGACCTTGAGCTTGCCAGGCAGGCCCTATGCCGCTGAGCTACACCCCAGCCCACCTTCTCCCTTAGCAACAGTAGCCAAACAGGAGTTTTGTGTTGGGCCTGAAAACTGGGGAGAGGTGGGTGTGGAAGCCACAGTGGTTTCTAGGGTTGTAATTGTACAGAAGGAGGAGTGGTGACCTCCAGGGACATCATATTTGGTTGTTGCCCAGCCATATTCTATACCTGTGAATACACAAAGAGCAAAACTAGAATTATTTATATTTTTTAAAATCAACAAATACTTTTTAGGACAAAACAAATTGACTGCCATGTGCTTGCTAGCTAGGCCATTGTTTGTGTTCATTGGTCTCCTATTTTTTATACTTTTTCAACATTTTGCTTAAAAATCTGAAAAGGAAAACTTTCAAAGGCTTGTTCCATGGTGCATGAAAGTATATGTAAAGTAGATTCTTCAGCACTTAATTGCTTTACTGCTCTCCACAGAAAAGGTGGAGAATAAATATTTGCTGAATGAATAAATATTCAGTAGTTGAATACTGATGTGGACTTGAATCAAACCGGGGGAAGTAACTTTTGAAACTGAACATTCAGTGGTGTTTTAGGGTTTTTTAAAGCCTACTTCTCAACTGCAAGAACACCCTTTTAGGGTCAAACATACTAGGTGTCATACTGCACACTTTTTTGAGTGTAAAGTAAGTCACAGCATAAACCCTGAACCAGAACTGGTTACAGTAGCTCTAACACCAGCATTGAATTTAGTCCCAGCACATTGATTGCTCTTCCAGGATTTCTTGGTATTAGAAAGTTCTGGCTTTTGAAGCTGACCCAGTGGCCAGCAGAGGGTAGTGTTTCATTGAAAATTTATTTATTAGTTCTGAAAAGAATATTTTAGGTGTCTCACCTAGGTGTCCTTTTTGTCTGCTCAAAGTTAAATAGGAATCCTCTGTTTCACCTTGGTGCGACAGGAATTTATGAACACCTTTGGAAATTAAACTACAGAATTTTTAATTTGCAAAGACTTAGACTTTCTAGCATCGGTGTTCTAATCCTTAAAATACACACAAAGTAACATAAACCAAATTCAGATTACTTGCTTTTAATGCCTATGACCTGATTTCTTCAACTAGAGACAATATTTCAGAGTTTTCATTTAAATGAAAATTTCATTTTTTTAACAAATGAAGTAACAGAAATTCAGGAGAGTATGCTTATGCTGCCGTTTCACATAGTATGGGAAATACGTATTTTCTCCACAGCTTTTAACTTCCTCACAACTTTCATCAGAAATTAAATTTTCCTTTTGGGAGATCAGATTCTTCTTAGGAGCCATCCTAGAAATCCATTTTGTTTGTATATGTTGGTAATGTGCCAAGGGGACATAAACCTTACTAAAACCAAATTAAATCTACATTTTAAGAGCTCTGTTTACCAGCAGTCAGGGTGATGGCAAACCATACAGAGGAAAGCCGTGGCTGGGGAAGGCCTGGGTGGTTAGCTGGACATGAAGGAAGTAGTCCCTCCTCAGCCGTTCTTTCCCAAGCCTCATTCATAGAATGAGAGAAGTAATGTTCTCATGTTACATGGGCAACCAGGGCGCTGCCCTAGCTCTCAAACATTTAACAAAATCTGTCTTTGCAAATGCTTCACAATGTTTGCTTCTGATAATACCAAATTTGTACTAATACTAATAACACAATGTTTGAGTCATCTGATAATACTAATTAAATGTGTATTTCTGGGTAGATCACAAGCAGGGTGTATTGATAGTAATTTGTTGTGCCTAGTAAATTTGTAAGTAGGTTACTATTATTTCTTCCAAACCTCTAAGATTTGTTATTTCATTGATTTTCTTTTAGAACCGATTTCAATTTTTAATCGAAGCTCAGAAGCCCAGGAATGTTGTACATTTTATTGCCAGTCCTGCGGTGAAGTCATAATAAAGGACAGGTAAGGGTGCATTTAGAACTGATTAATTCTGTGCCTGGCAGTGGCTTTTATCTTTATCAGAATTTTTGAAGTAATTACAAATGGAACAGTGCAGATGTCCTTAAAATGCGAATACGGCCTTAATGTCTCTTTGAACAAAATCAACCACAACCTCGCCGTGTTGAGAGTGGAGCTGTTCTCCGGGTGATGCGGGTAGGTGTGGAAGGCCGGTTAAGGGACGAAGGCTGGGCGTGGCGTAAGTGCCTGGCCCATCACTGACGCACTCTCTTCCCAAAAGGAGACCCAGAATCTCACCTCATTTGTTTTATCCATTGTGATGGGGACTGCGTTTCCACATAAGTGAATTTTCTGCCTCATAGAAGCTGGTACAGCAGGATTGTCGATCTGAGCTATTTGTATTGGCGCCATTCTAAAATCCATTTCCTCTTTCCCCCTCTTACTAAAACAGAACATACAGAGCACAAAATTAACCTTTTCTCAGTGATGAGGTTAATCTTGTTACCCATTTTTCTGATGTGCTGTGATTACCCTGTTGAGGCAGGCAGGACTTTTTGCTATTTTCTTTGCATTCCCAAGTTGGCTTTTCCAATTATTTTTTGTCTTCTGTCATCCTGTCAGATTTTTGTTTCTTTGGTACAAACCTCCTCTCCTTGAATTTTCAGCTTCAAATCACTCATGGGTTGGAAAGACAAATGAAAAGCTTATTACTATTAACAGTATTTAAAGAAAGAATTTCTGCATGCATGGGTTTCCCAAGACAAGTGCCTGTAAATGAAGATATTTCGTATGTGAAACATATTCCTTTTCCAGTGTGCTTTTTTTTCCTCAATAATGCCATCCCACTACCTTCTTTCGCCTTGTTCCTATTGTCTTTTATTTTGTTCTTTAATTTATTTATAGTTTGGATTTCTCATATAAGAGAAACTATGCAATATTTAAGCTTGCGTGTCTGATTTATTTCATTTAATCACGATACAGCCTTTAAATCCTTAGTGTGCCTTGTTCATTCCTTTGTGAGCTTGTCTCTCCACCCCACCTTTCAGCTTTCTCCCAAACACCCTGTGCACCCCCAGCACACACTGATGTTGCTAATATTCTGTGTGCAGCTCTGGTGATCAGTATGCCATCTCATGATCTTTTAAGTGCTTTTCTTCACCCTGGATCTTGGGAAAGGTGCTCATTCTCAACGCACCCCCTGCCCCCCACATAGTCTCTACTCAGCTCCTACCTGTGTGCTGACAAGGCATGTACCAGGGACCTTCTTTGAACCTGGGTTGTATAAGGTACTCTGCCGAGGTTTATGTGTGCCTGTCTTCATAATTAAACTGTAAGCCCTCCAACAGAGATAATCATACTAATCTCTGTATTCTTTATTTCTATTTTATTGCAAGTACAGTATATGGTAGTGGCTAGTGAACAGACTCAGAAGTAACACTGAATTTTTATTTACAACTTACTAGCTGTGTGATTGTGGGTAAATTACTTAATCACTCTGCGTTGATTTCCTTGAGATAATGTGAATGACAGTATGACTTATCTCCTAGGGTTGTTGGATCAAATGGTTTTAAGTGTTAATAGGAGTGCCTGGTACATGGCAAGTATTCAGTACATGTTAGCTAGTCATCAGCATCAGCATCAGGCACAGTGCCTGATAAATAATGTGCTCCCAATAGATTTTTGCTGGGTTGAGTGCACTAGATTCTAGTGTATTTATTTTGGGCTTCCACCAGCCTTTTTTGTTTGCTCTCTGGTTCTTGGCTGTATTCCAGGTAGATAAGATGGTCTAAATTCCCCTCATGTTTTGGGAGATTTATAGAGGTAGCATCATTAGAACAATTATCTTGAATAAGGACTGGTGTAACTTTAAATCTACAGAGGAGAGAGGAATATCTTTGCTCAAGTTACCTAATGGTTAAAGTTGCCACAGAGTATGTACTTGGGGACAGGCCCCCTTTATCTGGAAAGTTCCAAGAGATCCTAGCTTCATTGCTGTTTAACCAAAACTTGATATCCTTTCAGCCTGTTTCAGGCTTTGGTTTAATTCTCAGATGAAGTTTCTGAAACATTCATTCCTATACAACAATGAGGTGACCTAGAAGCTAACAGTTGGAATGAGTTAAATTCAGTGTAATAGTATTTCCTGCTACCCTTTTCAGTAGGGGATATCCGTTCTTTATCAAATGGTACTTGTGTTTCATTGGAAAAGGAAGAGGATGTGAAAGATGCTTGGTGTTCCTATTTAGGAGCTGTATGTTCTGTTTTTGTCAATTCTTTCTACCACCATGGAGTTGATGTAGAAGGGCATGGAGGCTGTTATTGGAGAACAGCTTCATTTATTCTCGATAACCTGAGCACCAGGAGGCCCTGGAGTACAGAAGCAGGAGTGGGTGAAGGTAACTGGGTTTGAACTTCCACTTTTAGCTAAGCAGTTGGAGACCATGTTTGTATCACCTCAGCTCTCTAAACCTCTTTTCCAAACTTGTCAACAGAGTTAAGAAATGTAATATATAAGAGTAAATGCTATCAAACTCTTTTTAGATACTCCTATACCTTTTTCCAAAATATTCTGTTTAGAAAAGTAGCAAACAATCTAGTTGTCTTGGTTACTTTTCTGTAGTTGCTGGGGCAAAATGCCCAACACCCAAAATGAAGGAAGGAAAGGTTTAGTTCACTGTTAGTGGAGGTTTCAGTCCATAATCAGCTGGCTCCAAGATAGCATGGCATTGCACCAGGATAATACTTCAAGGCAGCAGCCAGCAAAAGTAGCCAGAGCAAAATGGGGAAGGGCAGATATACTCACAAAATCTCTGTGCCCTCCTCTTGCATGACGATATTTACAAAGTAAGAATTCTGGCTCCCTGCTGAGTCTCTTAGTTTAATTTCTAAACTGCTCAAGTTGACACAATGCATCAGCCATAACATTAGTGTTTAGCCCTTCCGACTCACATTGTCTATATGCATCAGAGAAATGAATTACCTCTCTGAAATAATAAATAATGTAATTGGGCCCTTGGTTTGTTTTAGCAAGACTTAATTGAAAGCCTTTTCTTAGGATATCTTTGTGTCCAGACTATTTATGCCTCTTGGACAAATGGATAAATCCTTACTATGTGACTGAAGGTGGTGTTCACATCTCATTCTTGGGCAGCATGCTTCAAATAGTGGAAAGATATGCTTTCTCTAGTCTCAGCACATTGATAATGTGATGATCTCTGTGCTCTTCTCACTTCTCCTTTGGTTACTTATTACTGCATAAGGGAGTGGGAAGAAGAACTTTGTAAGTTGAAAACAAAAACCAAAGGTGTTTCAAAAGAACTTACATGTGCGCTATCATCAAAATCAACTAATTATAAGCATCTTTCCCAGGAAGAGGCTTATATTCTTGGACTGTATTGACTGAGCCACACTGAAAGATCCCCTAATAGCAGTCATGGACCAGAGTTAAAATCTACTTACTGACAAGCCTTTTTCGTCTAGAAATAAGTTACTTCAACTTTATGGCCTCAGTTTCCTTATTTGTAAAATAAAAAAATTTGAATTACATAAATCTGTCAGTCTTAGCAGCATGAAACTTCTCTGATCAGTGAACCTCATCAAGTTGTAGTTTGAATTTCTGTGATGATTCGTGACTATTTCGATTGTGCAATGCTGAAACCTGTTACTTTTTTTCTTTTTCTGTTTTTTAATGAAAAATGTTCTTGTCAAGCAAATTATAGAAATATAATGCAAAAGACAGTTGAACTTAGTTAAGACTCATTAATGCCATTTAGTACCTAGTACCAGCACATGAAATCTGCCAGTTTTAACAGCTCTTTTCTTTTACGTATGATCACACACTCCTAACACACTCAGTTTGTTTTGTTTTTCTGAAAGTACATAATGCTTTATTTCTTTATAAAACAGTTTTCCAATTTACAGTTTTACCAGATCAACAAAGTTTTTCAGTAATATCTGTATAAATGTATTCAGTTTTTGATTGTGCTGTTTCTGAGACTATATAGATCATAGTATGAAGCAGTAATGATGAAAACCACTTCTTTGTGAATGGTCTTAGATATAGCCAAGTGGCCCATGTATTTGCAATTTGTTATGGTTACTTGAAATACATTCATGTCACACTGGAAAATCACCAGTTGACCAAATAGATTTTCAAACCCGAGCTTTTGACTTTCAGACTGTTGTGCTGGAAGTGTTCAGAGGTATCTGGATCAGTTGATCCGGTTTGCCTGTACCAGGAAGAGCCCATGAAAATATGGAAACTCTTAAGAGGCTGTCAGCATTGCCTTCATGGAAATGTGAAGTACTAGAATATTGAACCACTTGATTGAACTGTTTGGCAGATAAACTGTAATCGTGGTCTTATAACTCTTCTTGTGAATAGTCACTTTTTAATAAAATACAACAAAGAGGTTAAAAAAGAGGGCAGAACCTGGGGTATAGCTCAGTGCTGACGCACATGCTTAGTGTATCCCTAGGTTCTACCCCAATAACTGCCATCCCTCAAGAAAGTGCAGAATTTGATTGTTGGCAATATTGTACACTTTTATAATAAAATTATAGTACTTTTATGAGTCTAATCATACTATTTACATAACAGTATTAAAATGCAAAGCTAGTTTTATGGGATTTTTAGCCTAGTGGTTAGAGAATGTTACCTAAATTTATCTAAATTTTAGCAACCATATTTTGAGCTTTTGATATTTGTTATGCTTATAGTCATTAATACTCAACCTGTTCATAATTTAGTCTGTAAAAGCTATGTGTTATGACCTGTAACTGTTATCACTGATTAATGACTGGTTTTAAAGTTATGGACATTTTATATTCATTTTTTATTTTAAATTTTTTATTTCAGTGCTATACAAGTAGATATAAAGAAAATGAACAAAACATAAAAAGCAATCTTTTGTGAAAAAATAAAATTTTAGAATAAAATAGAGAATAACAATAAAGAACAGAACTTTCTTTTCAGTTAACAAAAAGAAACTAGTAGCATAAATGAAACAAGTTAGCTTATATCAAAATATTTTTGAAACAACTAATAGATAATTTGGATAATTATTAATTTTTCCCCACTTTTTTGTCTGTCTTGTTTTTTGTGCTCGCTCGTCTTTTTGTCTCTACGGTTTCGCATATGAGAGAAACCATGAGATTTGTAAGCTTGTGTGTCTGGCTTATTTCACTTAACATTACGTTCTCAAATATCATCTGTTTGCCTGTAGATTTATCTTTCTTTATGGCAGAATAGTACTACACTGTGTATAAATACCACATTTTCTTTATCTGTTCATCTGCTGATGGATATATCCACTGTTTCCAAGATTGTAAATAAATAAATTATAGATTTATTTTATTAAATAAATTTACTTTATTAAATTTATCTATTGTAAATTGTGCTGCTATAAATGTGTATACATGTATGTTTGAATATCAAGTAAAACAGCAGTGAATAGCATTTATTAAAATTGTGTGTTACGGTTTATATTTACCAAAAGGTATACTCTTGATGCATTAAATATAACTAATTTTAATTTATTATAAATATATGTTGTTCATTATAAAACCTTAAGCTCAGAGGAATTGAAGAAATCATTTCATTCTTCCTGAGCTTCAGCAGGTTTTCATCTAATTTATCTTGGAAAAAATGGTATCTATTTTGTTTTGAAAGTTCTCTTGGGAAGTAGATTATATCAAAGTACACTTTTCAGGGTTTTAGATAGATATACTTACATTAGAGGTGTGATTAAAGTACATCTTTTGTTCTTAAAGGTTTTATGTTTTTTCAAAACATCAGAAAAATTTTTTTGCTATAAAAATCCTTTTATCTTTGCGGTAACTGCAAATTAGGCACTTTCTTGCTCCTGATGTCTTACATAGCTGATTAAAAGATGTATTACAGCTTTTATTCATTGTGATCTGGGGCCGAGTTAAGTTTGAAGTATCTTATTTTGTGTTAATATGCATCAAATCTCCCAAGTCTCTGTAAATGAGCTTTTATTTCTTTAATCATATATGGGATTTTGACGTTGCTATGTTTTGTATTATGTTAAGTGGCCTGTTCATTGGTCCTGTGTGCAGAATGTCAGGAGATAGAGAACCCTAATGATGGAGAAGATCCTCAAGCCTATTTAGATCTCATTCTTATTCTACCTCTTGATAAAAATTCTGAGAACCATGTAGTACAGCCTTGTCTCAAAGCAAAACAAAACAAAACTAAGCAAACTAAACTAAAACAAAGCACAACCCTAATCTGATGTGTCACTTCCTCAGATGCTACGGTACGGTACTGCCCATTCCTTTATAGGACCAAGTCTTATCTCTTGGCGTAGCATTTAACACCACACGCAATTTGCCACCATCCCATCTGCCCAGTCTTCTCTATTGAGTCACTAGCAGAGGGAATATATTCCTAAGAAAAGATTTAGTTTGGCAATTAGGAGAACCTGGGTTAAGATCCTGACATCACTTCACACCTCCGATATTGTGAATTTGAGTAGATTATTTTAAAAAGCCTTACTTTCTCCTTTAGCACCAAGGAAGTGATGATAAGAGAGTTCTTATCTCACAAAGTTTTAGGCATTAAGGGTGGATGGCTGTCCCCAGGGAGTCTTCTTAAATTCATCTCTACATGCAGACTTAAAAGACTACCACAGGCCTCAGCTTGCCGGCCAGGAAGCACAAAGAATTCCTCTTAGAAGGCACTCTGCAGGAGTTCCTGCCAGTGTCTGTTTGTACACCCACTCAGGGACTCTTGTGACATAATTCCAGTTTCAAAGTGCAAGATCTGTATCAGGAAGGTACAGTGGATGCCCTGGCTTAGAACCCTCATATTCTAACCAGTGTCTCTGGTAACAATTCTTTGGCAATAGTTTTTTGCCACAAGAGACTACATTCAGGAATGCACAAAGCATGAAATTCTTAATAGATGTTTATAGCCCATCCACCATTCTTTCTAGTCCAGATGTAGTTTACCAGTCAGGGGTCATTTTTACCATAAGGAGTGTTGCTTAGCAATATATTTGATGTCTATGATCTTACCTGGTTTCCAGGGTAACAGAACGAGGTGGTTAAACTAAAGGTCAGAGTCTTAAGCAGCAAGGGAAAAAGGTTTGTTAACCCTTTGATCCCAGTGTGCAACAAACCCAGCTAGGTACCTCACATGTTGTAGTTACCCAAATATGCTAGTTCGTTCCTTCAATGAATATTTAAGGAACTATGTTAAACATTAGGTATATAATGGTTAGGTAGTCAAATGCAGTGCCTGTCTTCACACTGTTTCTTCCATGATGCCTTAAATTCCTTCTATTTTCCTGGGAAACTACCCTTCAAGGGCCAGTTCAGATGTTACCTCTACTCTGAAGTTCATTTGTAATGTACTTACCTAGCACTTCGTATGTGTTATTCTGAATTCTCTAAAATAAAATGCAGATTCTGTGTGCTTGTGAGAATGTATGTCTGCGGAAAGGGATAATACTCTCATCAAAGAAACCTGTGTAAGCCCCTGCCTTCAAGAGTTTAGAACGATACTCCTTACATGTGGTTTTGTTATTGCATGTAACTTTATATTTCCTATTAGAACGTGAGTATCCTGAGAGAAGGGACTGTATGTTTTCATACCTTGCGCCAAGAGAATGCCTGATTAATAGTAGACTTGAGGAAATGTATGTTGAAAATATTACTTCACAGTGAATTACTTCATAGTGACCTCACAGCTCAGCAGGCTGGATATTGCCAGTGATACAACATTTCCTAATTTGAAAGGGAAAGTTATTCTTTATATATTCTTATAGTTCTCCTCAAAATTGACCTTTCTTATTCCTGGCTCTATCTTTTGGATTATAAATTATATGTCTATTCACTTCTGAGCTGTAAGTGCTCTTCTATGGTACTCACAGTTGATCAAGGAATCAAAGAAAATGGTTAACTCCAGTAAATATGTTTTTAAAAAGATGCAAAAATGAATTTTTCTATTTATTTATTTATTTATTTATTTATTTATTGGTACCAGGGATTGAACTCACAACCTCACACTTGCCAGGCAGGTACTTGTACCACTGAGCTATATCCCCAGGCCAATGAATTTAATTTTTAAAAGACATACCATCGCATCTTAAATATTTTAACTTAAAACTTATAAATAAGGTATATCTTCATTTATCAGTATTTTACTGATGGGAGAAATAAGAGATACCACTTTAATCAGATAATCAAGATTATTATCACTTATCATGATAAGTCCTTTTGATGTAATATGTATGCATCCTGATATGATGTAATGAGAAGGGAACCTCATATCTGTAGAATTTTTTTCTCAAAACCATATCTATAATCTAATCTTGAAAAAATACCAAAAAAACCTTAGATTTAAAGATATTTTGTAGGTTGACATGCTATTACTCTTTAAATATCCCAAGGTCCTGAAAAATAAAGACTGAACAACTGTCACAGACCAGAGAATGCCAGAGACATATGGTGACTAAATATAGTGTGTTATTATAAAATAAACTGAAAAAAAGAATATTGTAGAAAAACTGATAAAATTCAGAAAGTATAGTTTTGAAAAATCTACCATGGCCAGATAAGATACTGTATTCACTTTAGAGAAAGCTGGGTAAAGTGTATATGCTACCCTCTGTACTGTCTTTGTAACTTTTCTGTAAGTCTAAAATAAAAAGTTTATTAGAATACAATAATGGGAGGAATCACAGAAGAAAGTGTAGACAATTTATAGAAGACAGTAACAGAAAAAATATAACAAGAGGATGATATTCTTCATATAGAATATATTTTTACTAATTCATAAGAACATAGTAATATCCTATTAGAAATGGTCACTGGTCATAATTCACAGAAGCTTGGTAAATAAATATAAAAATTAGTTCACTGTCACCAGTAGCTTGGTTGCCAACTAAAGCTGCATTGAGAATTTTTTATTATTATTTATGCAAAGATAGAAAAATAGTATTCATTTAAGAATAAAGTAAGTGGAAGAATTAAGATTAGTCCAATCATTCTGGAAAGACATTACCAAATGGGCTTAAAAATGCTTAGTATTTGTGTTTGTAATCTAGGAGATTTTTTCTCAAGGAATAATTAAATATGTATGCAAATTTTCTAATAGGAATCAGAATTATTGATAAAGAACTCAACCTAGATATTTAACGGGGAATGATTTAAAGTTTGATATACAGTACTTATGAAATAGAATCATGATAGTGAAATGTTTTGGTGTATATCCTCTAAATCCCAGACTTCCTATGCAGAATGAGCACACACACACACAGACACACATACTACATTGATACATATATAGTAATACCTTGGTTTGTGAACACTTTGGTTTGCAAACAATTCAGTGTGCAAACAAAATCATCCAGCAAAATTTTGCTTCCATTCTCAAGCTTTGCATTGGTGACAAAAATGACCAGGGCCTCTTCCCATACAAACACAAATGTAGCCAAGTTCCCCCAAATTGTAAAACAAATTAAGTTCATAAACCAATATTTACTTATCTTTGGTTAGTGAGAAAGACATTATTTTATATGTCTGCACTTTCAAAATTGTCCATTGTGAGTATATATTACTTTAAAATTGGAGAAAATTTGCATTGCAAGTATGTGGCCAATAAGTGCCTGCTGTTTTTCATGCTGATTTAATTAAGAAAATGTTAGTTCCACTTTGTACCATGAAAAATAGTTTTTTTTTTTTAATTTTTCTGCTAGGAGACTCCTCAGAGTGCTCCCACTGCCCAGTGACAACTGGGGGGCTCTAGTTGAAGATTGGTGCTGTCATCCTGACCCCTTTGCTAATAAGCCACTTCATCCGAAAGAGAATGACTGTTTCATTGGAGACTCCTTCTTTCTGGTGAATTTAAGAAGCAATTTGTGGCAGGTAAGAACTAGATTAGTCCAGTTAGTGATGTACTTTTTCTGAAATCATTTTAAGTTGTCAAAATAGCTTTTCAAAATAAATGTTGATTTAGAAACTGGGTTAGATACTGATTTCCTCATTTTTTCCTTAATTCAAAGTTACTGAAGAAATTGTTCGCAAGGCCCAAATTCATTATTTTAAACTGTATTCTCTAGCTCTGTTCTGTTGATACAGGAGGAACTTTAAATTAAAAGAGCCATCAGGGGCTGGAGGACTATGAAAAAAACTTCTTTAAGCATGGATTTGGGAGTGCTACCACTTTACAAACCAAATGCCCTGCTTTTCTTTCACCTTAGGACAGTATTTCATAATCTATTTGCATTTTAACTTTAACAGTCTGATTTAAATTTTAAAAACATTCTACTAGTCCATCATATCTGATGTACAGTTAGTTGCAAATATTCTACTGTGTCTGCTTCGAGACTAGACTTGTTCTCATGTTATAAAAACAGGAGGGTAGGGGAGCCCCGGAATGGACATGAAGCTTTGCAGCAAGGTCTAAATTGGTACTTGGGATTAGGAGGTCAGGTAGCTCTTAGGGAGAAGGCAATTTCCTTTTAGTGCAGAAAACAAGTAGTTTATTTTTAAAAGAAAATCAATGGCATTGGCTTGGTTCTTGTGAAGAATCATCCTACTGATGATAGCTAGTCAATACAGATGTGATTTAAAAAGGAAAGAAAACCATTGCCAGGGAATCTGTGTTAACATCTGATTATTGGAAGGAACAAACCCATTGTACTTTAAATTTCATTTAGAACTCATTTAATTTTTGTAATTATAACTGAATTGCAGAAAATGTAGTAGTTGAACAAGTCTAATGTTGTAAATTAATTTATAGAACTATTTTGAGGAAGAGTAAGTAAAATTGCCAAATATCTAGATAAATTTTGTCAAAAGTATTTATATGCCTTGTCTCACCATAAAAATAAACCTCTTTGTCTAAATATATGGTTCAGTTTATATTTCAATACTTTAGCGTTCTGTATTTTAAAAGGTTAATGATAAAAATGGGAATAAAATTTATGATTATATTTTAATCTTTTATGTTTTTCATTTTCATGATTATGCTATACATTTTAACAATATTTGGAAAGTTTAGGTGAAAAAGAAGTAGGGAAATACTAAGAGAAGCTATGTCTCCTTTTTAGATAAAATGCATTGTATGCTAAAATATATTCACATTTATCTGCTGTATGATGGCATTTATAAGAATTCCTCTTGATTGTTTATGGTTGTATATTAAAGTGAAATGCTTCATGCTTAGATATTACAGTTTTGGTATTAAGGAGATTGTGGGAAATTACTGTCATGACAAGCTGCTATTGACAGAATTGTTTTCAAGTTGGTCTAGATGGAAGTGTCTTTAATTGCATATTGTTGCAGTAGCAAGAGACTGCCTGTGACTAAAATAGTAACAAACATTAGAAGAGTCTGCTTAAACAGTGTTCTCAAGGCTCCTGTGGGAATAAGATTTCCCTGTGCTATTGAAAACCTATTTCTCATATCGCCCAGTCTGCCATCTAGCAGGGTTTTGAAATGTCACATGAAGACACAGCATCCTAATGGTATCTCTTGGGAAACATTTTTTGGTAAGACAGTATCAAGGGTCCTTAGAAATTGAAACAACAAAGAGAAAATAAAAATGAGGACAGGAGGCTAATCCACCTTTCTGAGCAACGCTGCCACCTCTTAGATAAGTTGATTTAATTAGTCCCCCAACAGTGTATATCTTTGAGGTTGGTTGTTTAGAGTTCCCACACTGTTAGTCTGCTTCTTTATATAACTTGCTTTTTGGTTTCCTTAAAACATAGATAAAGAAAACTGCATTACAAAGCAGAGATTCTATTCAAATCAAAATAATGTTGTAATATTTTAATTAAAAAGATCTGATTTTAAAAAATAGCATAAACATAGTTACAGTATTCTTTGCCATTAGCACCTGCTGGAGTTTCCCGGTTTTATTTGCACCTGTGTAGATGCAATAGTACGTACATTTTATTTTCAAAATGTTTCTGCTGAAGATCTTGTTATTCTCATAACTCATTTTGTCATCCCTTGTACTATTTTTCATGCCTACCAATGTACTAAAATTTTTTGCATCTTATAATAGGATGGTAAAGATGGCACCTCAACACTTTATAAGATTGATTATATCTAGTCAAGACTTAGAAGTATGACTCCACTTAAAAACTTAATCGCATTTTTCAAAGAACAAAGTTCAAGTTTCATTATTATTTGCAAGTTTGACTAACAGTTTTATCTTTTTACCTTGGAGTACTTAGTGTTTATTTATTTTGGTAATTTGGTTTTTAAATTTGTACATATATCTTTTTTGTTTTCTTAGAAAAATGTGTTGAGCTTTCTAAACATTCTCAAGTATACAAAGAATAGTATTATGAACTGTAATAGTGTATGCCAATCATCCTAATTTATCAGTTATATTTTATTGCCCTGTTTTTTTTTGTGTGTGTGTGTGTGTGTGTTTACAAGGTAGTTTAAAGCAAATCTCAATTATCATGCCATTTCATCTCTATATGTTTTAATACATATACCTGAAAATATGAATTTCTAAAAATATAACCTCATTGTGATTATCACACCTGATAATGATAACCGCTAGGCCAAATAAAACTTTTACTAATTGTCTTAAAAGTAATTTTTACTGTAGATTTTTGTTGACTTTTTCTTTTTCTTTTTTTTTTTTTTTTTGAGACAGGGTCTCACCATGTAGTTTAGGCTGGACTTGAAATCATTGTGTAGTCCAAGCTGGTCTTGATAACAATCCTCCTGCCTCAGCCTCTCAGGTGCTGAGATCATAGGTATATATCACCACACCCAGCTCTACTGTAGGTTTATTTAAATCAAGACCCACATGATGGTTGTTTGTGGATATCTGATTCTTATTGATCAGATTTTTTTTTTGTACAAGGGATCAAACTTCACAACTTAGTGCTTGCCAGGCAGGTACTTTGCCGCTGCGCCAAATCCTCAGCCCTGGACATTAAAGAAATGCAGACTAAAACAACACTTAAAGTCCATCTTATTCCAAAAAGACTTCCTACTCAAAAAATCAAATTATAACAAATTCTGGCGAGGATGTGGAGGAAAAACAAATGACAATTCTGCTTTTTTTGGTGAGAACAGAAACTAGTACAACTACTATGGAAATCAGTATGGAGATTTCTCAAAAAAATTAAGAATGAAATTCCATTTGACCCTGTTATTCCACTTCTGGTATCTTCCCCAAAAGTTAGACATCATATCGCAATGGTACATGCATACACGTTTATAGCAGGACAACTCATAACAGCTGTCTTGGAAGTGGTCTACATGTCCATCAACAGATGAACAGATAAAGAAAATGTCATCTCCAAAGAAGTAGTACTGTATTGTATAAAGGATAACTTTGAGTCATTTATGGGAAAACTGATGAACATTGAGACCATAATGTTAAATGAAATCAGACACACAAGCTTAAATATTGCAGTTTCTCTTATATGAGAAACCCAAAATATAAATAAAGAGCACAAGATAGATAATAGGAAACAGAGAGTCTTCTTCAAAGGGAAAGGGGACTAAACGATGGAGGAGGCAGAGGAGAAATGGATATAGAAAGAATTAAGATGTGTTATACACAGATGTGGATAATTAGAATTTTAAAATCTGATCAATAAAGGGGCTGAGGATTTGGCTCAGCGGCATAAGTACCTGCCTGGCAAGCACTAAGTTGTGAAGTTTGATCCCTTGTACAAAAAAAAAAAAAAAAAAAAAAAAAAAAAAAAAAAAAAAAAAAAAAGTTGCAGTTTCAAAACGAGAATGATATTGTAAAATCTTTGAATTTTAAAAAGACATAATATTTGCCTTATGTCCAGCAAGGAAAGGCAAACTACTACTGCTGGTGTCAACATTTCACCATGATGGAAACATTGTTAGGGAAACCACTACACTATGGAAATCTGAGATGGAAACTTTCTACAACAAAACCAGAAGTGGACTAGGTGTTGTTGATGAGTTATGGAGCAACTATGATGTCCCTTGAAACACAAAGGTCTGGCCAGTGCTTGTATTTTACTCAGACCTAAGTATGTGTGATAGCTTACCAAGAAAATAATAAGTGCAAAATATCACAGAGGAATTTTCTTAGAGGATTGGGAATAGAGCTCATATGAGATTATCTACAACAGAGGAAAGCCAGAATGTTTCTGCCTAAGGAACTATACAAAATTGTGGAGCACGCTAGTGAGCTAACAGTCATAAGCAGGCGCAGCATCACAAAGACCCACTACAACAACCGGAAAGCAAAAAAGATGGCAACTTGCCTTATAAGAAAGTACAGGTAAACAAAACATACATATTATCAATGTACACTGTACTTATGTATCCATGTGTGAAGACTGCCTTAGGAGTGAAGATGTGTTGCTGTTAATTACACTTGTAAAATATAATAAGAACCTCCTGAAAGAGTGGCACGCCCAGTACGATGTTGAGATGACCTACAAAAGGCCAGGAAAGTGAAAGACACGTGCTGTCAGCATAAGCGATACGTGCCTCAGGTGTGATAATTGAAGTAAAGATTATTTTATTTATTTATATTTTGTAAAGTGCTGTTGGTATTTTCGTTGTAGTTCATGGGAATTTGTTTCCAGTTGTTCTTTTTTAGACTTTGTATACCAAAAACAGCCAATGTTGAAAATTTTGATGTTTTTATACAGTCAATAAATATTAAAAATTAAATATTTTTGTGATTTTTTTTTCCTTTTAAGTACTCAATGTTTAATATAATAAAACTCACAAAATTGAAATTAATAATTTTTCCATTAGAAACATTCTGAAGAACAAATGTGGGTCTGATGTTTCTGTACCTGGAAGATAAAATTAGTGTTATACCCCAAGTGTTTGAGGAGCATTGGCATTAAATCTTTCCTGAAGTTTTTGTAGAATTCAGTGGTGAATTCATCAAG